TGTGCTATTCAGAGGTGGAGTTGAACATGTAGGTCTGGATGGAGTGCAGGGAAGTTCTCCAGGCTGGATGGAGATTTGAGTACCCTTAGCATGGGGAAAAGCCGATCTCAGGGAGACGGTGAGATGGGTCCTGGCCGGGCTGAGCTCCCTCTGTCCTGACCACACAGGGCACCTCCTGGCAGCACCAAACATCTCAGCACCCGTTATCTTCAGACTCGCCTATTTGCTGCCTTATTTGTTCCTCACTTTCAATCTGAATGTGTTTTCCCTCCAACGACACCCTAAGCAGAGACTGCCCTATATTTCATGTATACACTACATGAAATATAGGGCTCTCCACACACTAGCACAGGGTCTGTCAAATAGTAAACTTGATGATACTAATGATAATAACTACTAGTAATAGTGTCTGTTATGTAGAGGGCATGATATTAAGGTCTTAACTCTGCTACTTTATTCTGTTCTCTTGAGGACCCAACAAGGTAGGTATCAGGAGCCTCATTTTACAGATGAGGAAACAGATGAAGTTGCAGCACATGCCTAAAACTCCCTGGCCAGCAAACGGAGAAATGCAGCTCTGGACGCAGCTGAGTCTGCCCCCAAAGCCTGTGTGCCCTCCCGCTAAGCAGGACACGGACCCTTCCAGTCTGGCTGGGAGGCCACAAGGAAGAGAGGGTGCAGATTTGCCCCGTGGCTGCCAGGACAGGCATCAAAAGCCTCTCAGGGGAGCTCTGAGCAGACTTGATTCTTAGCTCAGTGGCAGAAAAACTGGTAACCACAACCAAAACTGGCACCTTGTGTTCAAGGTGAAACAGCTCCTCAGGAAGTGGTGAGCTGCCCGTCACGGTCACGGAGGAGGGGTTGCGTGAGACACGGTCTTTAAGGAACCTCCAATCTTGAGCGCTTATGGGTGAACCTGCTCATGTTTCTCTTTTTCTTGGCTGTGCCATGCAGCATGCAGGATCTTAGTTCCCCGACCAGGGGTCGAACCCGTGGCCCCTGCAGTGGAAGCGTGGAGTCTTAACCACTGGACCGCCAGGGACGTCCCGACCTGCTGATGTTTCAAGGAGGATGATATGCTTGGGAAAAGCACCCACCCCCACCCCCACTTCAAAGAAAAGGCAGGAAGCTAGCCAAAGGGAAAAGATTGACTTAAGAAAGCAGATTTCAGTGCTTCCAAGGATCCAAGGGGAAGGGGTGGGAGCAGTGGGAGTGATTTTCAGGGAGAAAACAATGTTGAAGTAGCGAGAACAACTTCTGCAGACATGGGACAGGCGGAGGCAAGCTGATGAGCTCCGTGGAAAATGGCGTAAGAATCACCATTGGGCATGGACTCCTTCCTTTCTTCTCCATTAACTGAGCACCCATCAGCAGCCTGGCACCAGACCAGCAGCTGCGGGGTGGGGGGTCGGGGAGCGGGGAACAGAGCAGGGTGAAGTAACAGTCCCTTCCCTTGGGAGAGCACAGCGTAATCCTCAGAGACAAGATAAAAAGCCGAGTGGCTAAAAAGATTGAACACATGCAAGGTTACGAACTGAAAGCAAGATAAGAGCCTGAGAACCCGGCAGGGAAGGCCCAGCCTTCCCTCTGCGTGGCACACAGGGAGAAGCAGGGCCAGATGCCTAAAGAGAACCACAAAGAAACCACGGAAGCCTAAGGCTAGCAGAAAAGCTGGAACAGGAACCCAGCAAAAATCATAAAAGGAGATTGAAAAATCTTCTCTCCGTTTACCTGGAAAAAGGTGATAAAAGGAATGTGCTCCTTTATTAGATGGAGAGAGAGCACAAGGTTAGAAAGCCCGGGCTTTGTGTTTGAGCCCGAGTATGTGTGGTGTGCACGCATGTACGTGGGCCTGTAAACCCATGCACGTGGAGGTGTGAGTGTGGCACATGGGCGTTCAGTGCCCCTGGGTGAACCTGCCTGAGGCTGTGTGTTGAGGGTGCGTGCGTCTGTGCTTCGTGTGGCTGTGAACAAGCAACATGGCCTCGGTCCTCTTGACCTCTACTCTATGGGGTCAGTCTCCCTTACACACTGGGACAAAATGATGTGGACTCTGGATTGGAGAAGGACACAGTGGTCACCTCGTGCAGCTGCCTTCCCCTCTTTGGGTCTCACTTTCCATACTTGTAAAACAAGGACATTGAAGCACTGGCTTTCAACCCAGGGAGCACATCATGGGCACCACTGAAGTTTCAAAATAATAAGAGATGCCCAGGACCCACTCTGGCACTACTGAATCCCAATCTCTAGGAGAGCCTTCTAACAAAGTTCCTTCCCAAGAGGTTCTGAAACCTAGCCTTGGTAAGCACAGCAAAGGTGCCCTGGGCTCCAGATTCCATCTCCTCCCCATGAACTTGACAGCGAGCTGGGCGTGCATTCATGGTATGATGGAGTCTGTTTGCACAAAGGCAGGCTTATCACACCGCAGCCAGTGCAACTGTGGGAAATAGGGCCGCCGTGTAGGCTAAAGACCTCGAATGCAAAAGACTCCAACCTTTAGGATCCTGGATGAAAACTGACTCGATGAAACTAACAAAGATAAACACAAGCTCTGGACTGAGGCAAACAAAGTAAATCCTGGATGAAAACTGACTCGATGAAACTAACAAAGATAAACACAAGCTCTGGACTGAGGCAAACAAAGTAATGGGCAGACACAAGAACCTGGTAACAGCAGGTGCTTCGGGGGAAGGCAGCTGCATGACTGAGGACAGTGGTCAGTGAGAAGGAGCTGCATCTCTCACTGTAACTTGTATATGCCTTTTGAATGTTGCATCATGTGAATGTATCAACTGTCTTTAAAAATCACTGGGAGGGACTTCCCTCGCCTTCCTGTGGTTAAGACTCTGAGCTTCCAATGCAGGGGGTGCAGTTTGATCCCTGGCAGGGGAACTAAGAGTCCACATGCTGTGTGGTGCAGCCAAAAAAAAAAAAAAAAAAATCCCTGGGAAAATATCACTGGCAGAAGCACAGAATCGGCAGAAGAACCTGGCTGGATATAAGTGGGATGCATGCAATCTAGGGTTTTAGCTGACAAGCTTACCCTGAGCAGACACCGTACCATGGCTGTCAAAGTCAACCTTTCAGCTTCACGGTGGACAGGTGGTGTGCTCCTTAGCGGGGGACTCTCCCTCTGTGATCTGTGCAGTTCACTCCCTGTCTGTACCCCTGCGCCCTGGACTGAGCACCACATTCGGAGTACTGTCTGGACTGACATGCTAAGCCACACCCAGAAAAGAGAAATCGGGAGGGGGAAGGGTCAGAAACTGCACAGGAGTGGGTAAAGGGACCCAGATTGTCAGCCCAGGCGGGGGGAACACTGTATGGGGCACCATCACTGTCTCCAAATATCTTCATTGGCAAAAGGGAGCAGACTGTCCTTCCTGAGGACAGAGCTTCAGTTTGGTGTGGGCAGGCACTGTGGGCAGGTCCTTTGGGGGCTAAGGAAAAGCTTGCTAACTTTTAGAGCCATCTCACAGCAGAAGGTAGTGGGCTCCCTGTCATAGGACATACTTGAGCTGGCGGGGTGCCGGACCATCTCTCTGTCAGAGATCATGCCGAGGGGATTCTCACATCCACAAGGACACTGAACCGGGTACAGTCTGAGTCTGAACCCACCCTGACTCATGAGGAACGCCCCAGGCCCCTGGATACCAGTGCCAGGCCTTGCTTGGCACGTTTTTGTCTCTCAGGGTGGTTAACTTGCTGTTACCCACTGGGATGTCGACCTAGAAGCAGTGCAGGTAGAGCTAGGGTAGCCAGAAACCCAGGGCTGCAGAGCACCAGCCCCAAACCTGGGCCAACAGGTGCGCCCTTCTGCCTTTTAAAAAAAACAGCATTTACTGAGTGCTGCTATGTAGTAGCCAAGAGCTACTCTGAGAGTGAACAAGACAGGCAGATCTTGGCCTGCATTCTAGGGAGGAGACAGAAACTGACAAGGAAAATGTTAGAAGGAGTAAATGCTACAGAGAGAATTAAATGTGTGCTTGAAATGGGCTGGAGGACTGCTCTACATAGGGGGTGGGGAATCAGGGAAGGGCTCTGGGAGGAGATGACGTCATCATCACCTTGTCCTGATCATCCAGCCCACAGAATCTGTGGTGGTGCTCACCCACAGGGTCACGAGTCTGTTTCGGCCGATGCCCAACTGCCCCTTGCCATCCTTTTCTCCCTCACGCCCGGAAGCCTCCGTCCCTTCCCCCCAAGAAGCAGCCCTAAGATGCCGAGAATCCCCTACTGGGACAAGGACAGCTCCGAAGGATTTGGGTGGGGCATAACCACTCTCTAGAGACAAGTGAGCCTGGGGTCAGATCCGCGAGGTTGGGATAATAGCAGTGCCCGCTTTATCCGGTCTTTGCAAGCATTAAATGTGTCATCGCACTTAAGGCATCCAAGCGCCCCGCACACAGTAAGCACTCTGAAAGTGGCAACTACCTCAATAAATGTCAATAAATGTCAACTGTCTCTTTCTGGACTCTGAGGAGGCCGGGCCTTCTCCCTGGGCCCCAGTTTCTTCCGCCGCCCTCTCTGGCAGCGGTACAGGGCAAGTTCAGGTGCACATCCTCCCCAGGCTGTGCACATCCTCCCCAGGCTGTCCACACCGCTGTGGCCTCGGGGCGGGTTACAGCGGAGGAATCCGAGGCCGCAGGAGAGTGGGAGGTGGCCGCTATGAACCTAAGCTTCGGGCAAGCCCACGCCCGGCGCCTCAATGACCACGCCCCATCCCCGAGAGCCACGCCCCCGGATCCCTTCCTTTTGCCTGGAGTGGGCCCAGCCGGCGTGCTCCTTTAAGGCAGACAGCGGGCCGAGGAGTGTTTAGCCCCCTCCGACGCCGCCAAGGTACAGGCTTCACCTTTAAGGCGGCGCAGGGACTGCTGGGAAGGCCGGCGGGATGGAGGCGGTGGGACCTGCTCACGGCTGCCGGTCGGGGTGAAGCGGGGCGGGAGCCGGAGCTGGAGCGGGAGGCGGGCCCGAGCGGGAGACGCAGGTCCACGCGGGCCGATCGGGCCGGGAGAGGGGGGGCTCTGGGTCGGCCTAGGGGAGGGGTCGTCTTGGGCGCGGCCTGTGAGAGGGCCCGGCCAGCCCGCGGGGAGGGGGCGCGGTCCTGGGTGGCCGGGGGCGGGAGCTCGGCCTTTTCAGGGGAGGGGTCCGCAGGATGTCGTGCTGGCCTATGGGGCGCGTCCTGGGGGGAGGGGGGGACGAAGAACCCGAGATCTCAGCTCCTTAGGGGAAGGGTCTCCCCAGGGTCGAGCTGCCCAAGAGGAGGGGCTCTGTGGCTCGGCCAGCCTGTTGGGAAGGGGGCTGCCCGAGGGGGGCTGGGGCCGGAACTCCCAGAGGGACGGTGTCTCCGCACGGGAGTGAACCCCCCAAGATCCCCGTAGGTCCATCCTCTGGCGCGCCCTGCTCTGGCTAAGGGAGTCTCCAGGGAAGCCCCGAGACTGGGTCGCCTAAGCCGGCCTGAGCCAGTGGTCTGGGCCGAATCCGGGTCCAGCCTCGCCGGTCGCACCGCATTGCGTCTCCCGGGCCAAGACGAGCCGGGCGCGCCCCCTGTAGGCCGAGCGCGGGCACGGTGCGGGCTGCTGCCTGGGGGACGGGGCACCCCGGGGACCCAGGCGTCCGGGGACCCTAGGTGTTTACCTAATCCGGGGCGGACGGCGGCGTGGCCCCAGGCCCGGCAGCCCCTGCCCGCCCTCTCGCCTTCACAGGCGGCACGGCCATGGCCACGATGGTGCTTCCTCGGGAGGAGAAGCTGAGCCAGGATGAGATCGTGCTGGGCACCAAGGCCGTTATCCAAGGGCTAGAGACCCTGCGCGGGGAGCATCGTGCCCTTCTCGCTCCCCTCGTCGCTCATGAAGCTGGTGAGGCAGAGCCCGGCTCACAGGAGCGCTGTGTCCTCCTGCGCCGCTCCCTGGAGGCCATCGAACTGGGGCTGGGGGAGGCCCAGGTAGGCTGGTCTGGGGTGCTGAGGAGGGAGGTCATGGGAGGGGTGGAGCCTTCCAGAGGAATCCTGGCAATGTAGTAACAGAATCAGAAGGGAAGGAAGAATCTGTCCCCTGGAGCCTCATGGTAGGATCCCAGTAAATATCTGTTGAAGAAATGAATGGGCTCTGGAGACCCCGGTATTGCCTGGCCCCAGGAGAGCCTGATCATCTGGCTTCTCTGCTAGGTAGCAGAGACTGCATGGCCTAAAAAAACAGAGGAAATCCTTAAAGATCCCCCCACTCATTCTTCTATTAATTTGTTAACAGGTAAGTTATCAAGTGCCTACTATATGCCTGGCAATGTGTTAGGTGCCAGGGCTACAGGTCCAACAAGACATGAGATCCCTGCCCTAGTCCAATAGGAAGAGAATCAGAAATACACATATATTTATTCAATATTATGGTAAGTTCTCCAAAGAAAAAAACAAGATCTTGTGACAACCTTAGCTATTGGTCAAGCAAGACTTCTGAGGAAATGACATTTAAATCAAGACCTGAGGAAAGGAATGAACCAGAGAAGGGAGGAAAGTGAGAGGTTGCATGTATAAAGGTCCTGAAGTGGAAAAGATCTTGTTGTGGAGGGAGAACTGAGAGACCTGTCTAACTGGAGCTTCGTGAGGAAAGAGAGGGACAGAAAAGGCCTGTGGAGAAGGCGGGGACCAGATCATGCTGTGCCTTATTAGTTTGGGTTTTATTCTCAGGAAATCAGAAGCCTTTGGAGGGTTTAAGCAGTAAAGGGACACAGTCTGGCTTAGGTTTTAAAACTCTCTCTGGCTGAGGGGTGGAGAATGAATGATTGTGGGTCAGGGTGGAAGGAGGTAGCAGGTGTTAGGAAGCCGCTGCTAGAATTCCAATGAGAAATGGTGGGTTGGGCCATGAGGGTAGTAAGAAGGGGGTCAGTCCTAGACGTTCTGGAAGTAGGTCCAGTAGGGCCTGGGGATGGACTAAAGGAGACAGAGAGGGGCAGGGAAAGTCCCAGGTTTGTGGTTTGAGGAAATTGAGGAGAGAGCCTGGATGGGTCAGGAGTTCTGTTTGGGCCCTCTTAAGTTGAGGCTGCCAGGATGACATGCAGACAGAGCTATCCAGGAGGTGCTGGGGTGCACAAGGAGTTAGACTCTCGGGCAGAGAGTCTTGGCCCACTCAGATCTTGGCTGAGACGCTGCCTGGCTCTGTGAGTCCTGGGCAGGTGGTATCCCCTTGGTTTCCTTGTTTTTAGAATAGGGGTCGTGCCATCTGCCGTAAATACTAACAGGCTGTTTAGGATATTTTTAAAAATAGCTAGTGGTTGTGAAAACACCTGTCACTTAGGCATTTGCTAATCAACTAGAAAGTACAAAGTCCCAGACTGCCTGGCTCTCTGGGAGGGCAATGTGTCGGGCATTCACTCCTCGGCCGGCTGACTGCCAGGTGCGGAGGTGAACACACCAGGGCCCCCTCCCAGTGTATACAGGCACAGATGGACAACAGGATGGCATGGAGGTGGGGGAGGTGCCATGCTTTCCGGGGGCTGAGGGCATAAGAGGCTTCACTGCAGAAATGACCCTGACCATGAAGGACGGAGAAAGGGTAGAGTCTAGGCAAGGCCCCAAGGCGGGAAGAGCCTGGAAGCTCAGGAAAGGAGTCATGGAGTTTGGAGAGAGGGATGGGGGCTGAGGCTGAGGCCTCTGGATCCCCTTACCTGCCCCTGTGGTTTTCCAGACACTGGAGGTTTAGGACACACACCCCCCTTCCCTCCCTGGGAGCTGCAGGAGGACAGGGGCTGCCCTGGCTCTCTGGTAGAAGTCAGGATGGGGTCTTTTCGGTAGCCCTTCAGTCGTCTATCAAGGTCTTTGGGAAAGCGCTAGCCCTGGGCCAGGGGCAGCGGTATAGTGGCTCTGGCTACAGGGCTTGAGTACAACTCCTAGGAGAGACGGGGAACGAGTGGACAGCTCAGGGAAAGGGCAGCACCCCAGCTAGCGCTCTTAATGATCCGAGCACCCCGACAAGGTGGGAACTGGACCATCGATGTGGAGGACTAGCTGGAGGCCCAGGAAAGGGGATGGGCTATTTCAGAGTCCAGCACAGCCAGCCTGGGTCCTGACCGCAGAAGGAAGGACTTAGGAATCGCCAAGCCTCCTGGTTTCAGGTCTCAGGCTATGTTGGTCTGTTTGGGGCACTGGGGCAAAACTCCCTGGACGAGAGGAGAACTTCAGGGCCCTCAGCCCTGCAGCTCCTCCGGGCCTGGCTCTTCTCTGGGGCCCAGGCTGGGGGGTCAGCAGGGCTCTGACCTCTGTTCCGGCTGGCTGCGCAGGTGATCTTGGCGCTGTCGAGCCACCTGGGGGCCGTAGAGTCGGAGAAGCAGAAGCTGCGGGCTCAGGTACGGCGCCTGGTGCAGGAGAACCAGTGGCTGCGGGAGGAGCTGGCAGGGACGCAGCAGAAGCTGCAGCGCAGCGAGCAGGCCGTGGCCCAGCTCGAGGAGGAAAAGCAGCACTTGCTGTTCATGAGCCAGATCCGCAAGCTGGACGAGGACACGTCCGCCAGCGTAAGCCCTACCGTGGCCACTGGGCGGGGCGGGGGCACCTGGGAGCAGGGAGGGGCGGCAGGGAGCAGACGCTGCTCCGACCCAGCCCGCCGACCCCTGGGCCGCCTGCTTCCCTGACGCCCATCCCGTCTTCCTCCCCAGGAGGAGAAGGGGGACGTCCCCAAAGACTCTCTGGATGACCTGTTCCCCAGTGAGGAGGAGCAGAGCCCAGGTGCGGAGGGGCAGCTGGCTCTGGGGGCGGGAAAGGAAGGCTGTGTGAACTCCTGGTCCTTGGGACCCAGAGGTCACAGAAAACAAGGTCTGAGTGGCTGCTGTGTTCTCTCCTGCCTCGTTTCTGATTATAACATCCCAGCATTAGAGCTTAAAAGGCAGGTTTTACATGTTGCTTTTCTCATCTCCCAAGTTCTGTGAGGAGCAGGCATCACAGTTCAGAGCTTTGGAGCCGTCCGGCCTGGGTGCGAGCCCTGCTCTGCCTGCGTTTGCGCGGTGGCCACTGGTAGAGTTTCTTTCCCCTCTGAGCCTCCTCTGAGGGTTAAAGGAGGACGCATGCACAGTGCTGATCCGCGGGCCAGTACTGGCTTTGCTGATCGTGTGGCCTTTGTATCAGAGCCTCTCTTCTGCACGTGACGAGGCTGAGGCTCGGGGGTTAGGCGACTTGCCCTGGGACACACAGCTTGAAGCACCGGAGCTGGGACTCTACCCACTCTTCTTGTGGGGTGACTAGACCCACTCTACAGACGGGGAAACCGAGAGCTAGCGGTGACTTGCCCAGGGCCACGTGTGAGGTCGGTCAAAGGTGTGGCTGGCATGTGCCGGCCCAGCTCAGGAGGCACTTGGCACATCTGACCTCCCGCCCTTGGCTTTGCAGCCCCCAGCCCTGGAGGAGGAGACGTGGCTGCCCAGCACGGGGGCTATGAAATCCCAGCACGGCTCCGCACCCTGCACAATTTGGTGATCCAGTACGCCTCTCAGGGCCGCTATGAGGTGGCCGTGCCACTCTGCAAGCAGGCCCTCGAGGACCTGGAGAAGACGTCAGGCCATGACCACCCTGACGTGGCCACCATGCTGAACATCCTGGCGCTGGTCTATCGGTGAGGGCTCCTCCGGCTTCGGTCACCCATGGGAGCATTCTTCCTGAAGGCTCCAGCCCTGGTCACAAATCCTCAGTGCCTGCAGTGGGCCAGGACTCGGGTTCTACCAGGCAGTTGGGTGACAGAGAAAGAAGGATCTTGTCCCTGGAGAGGGCCAAGCCCACAGGGTGCCTGAGCTACAGACATGAATATGCCTCAGTCTAGTGGTGGACAAAGGCTTGGACATAACCAGGGAGGGGAAGGCACACGAGGACGCAGGGGGCACACCTTCTCCAGGCACCAAGGCTTGAGGAGGGCCTTTGGTGAAAGTTGAGTTTGCCCAGAGCACAAGAAGGTCGGAGAAGTTCTCCTTGGCAGAAAGGACACCATGAGCAGAGGCCCTGGGGAACAGAGGACAAGGTGCACTGGGCATGGAGCAGTGAGGGTGGGATCTGGGGGAGTCTGGCTTGTACCCCAGCACTGTGCGCCCTTCCTGCACAAAGCCCCCCAAGCCAGAGAGCAGGGGCTGACCACGTCTCCCCATGCTCTGGGTCATGCCCCATCATGCTCGCTCATTAGTAAGTATAGGAAGAGTGACCACAGGGATCTTGGGCCACTAGGAGGAGGGCCTTGGGCTGGAGGATACCCCTCATCATCTCCCACCTGCCCCCAGGGACCAAAACAAGTACAAGGAGGCTGCACACCTGCTCAATGATGCCCTGGCCATCCGCGAGAAGACGCTGGGCAAGGACCACCCAGCTGTGAGTGAGGCTGGGTGGGAGGTGGGGCTTCCCCTCCCCCTGCAGCTCCCAGGTCCCAGGTCATGGAGCCTCCATTCTCCCACCCCCTAGGTGGCTGCGACACTGAACAACCTGGCGGTCCTGTATGGCAAGCGGGGCAAGTACAAGGAGGCTGAGCCCCTCTGCAAGCGGGCACTGGAGATCCGGGAGAAGGTGGGAGCAGGCAGGGCTGGGCAGGCCAGGTGGGCTGGGCAGACGGGGGACGTAGGCCGGCCCCGAGCCCAGCCACCGGCTCCCCCTCCTGTCCCAGGTTCTGGGCAAGTTTCATCCAGACGTGGCCAAGCAGCTGAGCAACCTGGCCCTGCTGTGCCAGAACCAGGGCAAAGCCGAGGAGGTGGAATACTACTACCGGCGGGCACTGGAGATCTACGCCACACGCCTTGGGCCTGACGACCCCAACGTGGCCAAGACCAAGAACAACCTGGTGTCCTGGGCTAGAGGGGGCTGGAGGAAGCGGGGGGGAGGGAGGAGAGGAAAAGGCTTGACTCCTTGCATCCTGCTCACCCTCTGGGCCCTGCCCCTCCAGGCCTCCTGCTACCTGAAACAGGGCAAGTACCAGGATGCAGAGACCCTGTACAAGGAGATCCTCACCCGCGCTCATGAGAAGGAGTTCGGCTCTGTCAGCGGTGAGCATGGCTGCTGTGTGCCCCAGCTCACAGGCCCGCTCAGCCGTCAGCATCTAGGACGAATACCTCAGCCGGGCAGGCCTCACGCCTAGGGTCTGGCTGGTCCGCAGCCACTTGTGTGCACACATGAGCACACACACCCAACTCACACAGCCCCCTGGGAGGTTGTACCCCTGCAATGCCCTCCTTTTGCATACCCATGCCCTCGGCCCAGAGCCTCTTCCCCTTTCTCCACTGGGCAACTCACGCTCACCGTGAGGGCCCAGCCCAGATGTCTCCCACTCTGGGAAGCCACCTTCTGGTCCTTCATGGTCAGTCACTTCCTGCTCAGGGACCCCTCGGCCCGGCCCATCATTCAGGCCTCGCATCGTCTCGCACCGTGGGCCTGAGGTTTGTAAGGGTGTGCTCCCCCCACCCCCCAGTCACAGGCCCCTCAAGCACAGGCCTGTGCCACAGGCATCTCTGTTCCAGAGGAGCGTCAGTCATGTTTTGAGTCTGTTTCTTGTCGATTCATTCATTCAGTGAAGCCCAACCCTGGTCCTTCTTGAGTACCCCTGACCTCCCCCCAGACCCCAGTCATGTGTCCAGCCCAACCAGCAGAGGCCCACATGAGAGGCTGGTGACAGCCCCCCCTCTCCCTACAGGGAACAACAAGCCCATCTGGATGCACGCAGAGGAACGGGAGGAGAGCAAGGTAGCTCTGTGGGGCAGGGCCGTGGCAGATGTCTGTGGAGGGAGGATGAGGCTGGGGGTGTGTAGAGGGGAGGGCCTTCTCCTACCTTCCGCTTATCTCTCCCCCAGGATAAGCGCCGGGACAGCACCCCCTATGGGGAATATGGCAGCTGGTACAAGGCCTGTAAAGTAGACAGGTGAGGACAGCGGGGCGGGACTGCTGGGACAGCAGAGAGCTGGGAAGCGGCATCCTGGGTGGGGGCCGGGGCCAGGCTCCACACTCCATACTGCTCAGCCCCAGAACACACACCTCTTCTCTGTCAGCTCATCTTTCCAGGCCCAGGTCACAGGCCACCTGTCCCAAGAAGGTTTTCTGTCCCAGGACAGCCTGATTATCTCACTCCTGGGCTTCCCAGCCTTTAGTCCTGGTGGCAACATCCCACCTAGGGCCCTCAGGTGATTCCCCAAAACAGGGGAATCCAGGCGGACCTAGCACAGGGCCTGACACACAGGAAAGGCTCGATTTTGGTCTGCTGGATGGTTCCTCAGGGCCAGTGTGGGCTGGGTGTCAGGATGGGCCCTGGCTCCTGGGGAACACGGAGTTGGAGCCCGTCCCGCTCTCCCGTTCGCAGCCCCACAGTCAACACCACATTGCGCAGCTTGGGGGCCCTGTACCGGCGCCAGGGCAAGCTAGAAGCCGCGCACACGCTGGAGGACTGCGCCAGCCGCAGCCGCAAACAGGTAGGGCGACAGGCAGCAGGGGTGTGGGCAGGGACCTGCGTGGCCCTGCGTGTGATCCAGTCAGGGCCCGTTGCTCCACCTGATGCGCCCGCCCCCCCTCAGGGCCTGGACCCTGCAAGCCAGACCAAGGTGGTGGAGCTGCTGAAAGACGGCAGCGGTGGGCGCGGAGACCGCCGAGGCAGCCGAGACATGCCCGCGGGTGCCGGGGCTCGGTCTGAGGCTGATCTCGAGGAGGCAGGGCCTGCAGCCGAGTGGAGCGGGGTGAGTAGGGGCTGGACTGGGCCAGGAAGCTGTGTAGCCGGCATGGCACAGAGACGAACCTGTCCACCCCACAGGACGGCAGCGGCTCCTTGCGGCGCAGTGGCTCCTTCGGGAAGCTCCGAGATGCCCTGAGGCGCAGCAGTGAGATGCTGGTGAAGAAGCTGCAGGGTGGTGGCCCCCAGGAGCCCCCAAACCCCAGGTGAGCCGTCCACCCTGGTGAGCCTCTCGAGAACCCACCCCACAACCTACCAACCCCAGCTGAACTTCAGACCCAGGGTGAACTCCCTGTCTCGCTCAAGCTCCACCCACCACCAATCTCCCTTCCCATCAGCCTCCCTCCCCTGCCCCAAGCTGACCCCTTCCCCCATCCTCCCCCAGTTCCACCGTGGGCAAATCCTGACCGCCCTTTCCCCTCAGGATGAAGCGGGCCAGTTCCCTCAACTTCCTCAACAAAAGTGTGGAAGAGCCAGTCCAGGTACGGGTGGATAGTTGTCGGCACTGGGCAGCTGAGGCCCCGGCCCCAGGCCTGCATGTCCTGTGTACTTTCTGAGCTTCTCAAGCATGTCTGTTCATCCAGCCACACTTCCTGTCTCCATCCCAGGCCTGGCTTTGGGCTGGACCCTGGGGGGACAAATGAGGGAAACTCAGCTCCTGCCTGTGAGCAGCCAGTGGCAGCACAGTAACTGTGGAGGTGGGTGGGAGTGTCAGGACCCCAGGGACTCTGACTAGTCAGACTCCTTCGGGCCAGGGAAGCGCACACTGGCGGCAGCCCAAGGCTGAGCCACCTGCCCCTCTGCCCACAGCCTGGAGGCACAGGCCTCTCTGATAGCCGCACCCTCAGCTCCAGCTCCATGGACCTCTCCCGACGAAGCTCCCTTGTGGGCTAATCCTGAAGGGGCAGCTGGTCCCCAGAGCCTCCACCCAGCACCATCCCCACCCCAGCCCTGCGCATGGGCCTGCTGCTTGCCCCTCCTGTCTCTCCCAAGGACCCCTGTCTTTTCTGTTCAATCTCAGGGTAACCTCCTCCCTTGTCATCTCAGCCTGAGCCCTGGAGGCTGGGCCTGCCCACTCCAGTTCTACCCCTTATTTATTCCTTCCAGCAGGGCCCCCTCTTCCCTAGGTTCAGGGCCAGCGGAGGGGCTGGCCGGGGTCTCCACAGGTAGAGAGAGGCTCAGTGGCCCCCCCTCCGCAGACCCCAAATCCAAGAACACTAAGCACCTGCCGTCCCTTCAGCACCCTGCCCTCCCCCGGCCGTTGCTTCTGTATATAGAGAAATAAGTTATTGGCCGCACTCCTCCCCTCAGTCCTTGGTACTATCCGGCCTCCCCTCACCCCACCCTTCTCTAGTGGTACCGCCCAGGCCTTAATCACCCCCATTCCGCGCGGTGGTATCTCCCAGGCTCCACATCTCAGGGGCGGTGCCTCCCCAAAGGGTTCCCTAGGCATTCTCGCTTTCCTCCCGGCCTCTAAATGGTGCGCCCTGCCCCGTGCCCCAGGACGGAGAGCCCACCCCCTGTCCGTTCTCTCACCGCCGGGCTCTGCCCTGCAGCCCGGTCTTATGCACTGCTCCTCCCGCCCGGCCTGCCCAGGCTCGGCCTGACCCCGCCCCGGGCACCGCCCGTAGAGCCATCCTGCCACGCCTCCTCCCACACCTGCAGCTTCTTGCTAGGGGCGGTGATGGACCCCTGTGGCAGGAGGGGCTGCCCCAGTTGGGAGGTGAGGCGGTCGCTCTCTATTTTCAAATGTTGCTGTAGAAATAAAGACGGTTTGACTCTGAGCTGGGCTTGTTTTGGGGCGGAGCCCGAGGGCTCCTGGCGTCTCTACGTCTCTACATTGGGGGTGGGTACAGGAGAGGCTGCGAGTATGTGTGTGTGTGTGTGTGTTTGTGTGTGTGTCTCGCTCACGTCTGGTCCTGCGCAGCTGCAACCCAGATAGGCTTCTCCTATCCCGGAATTGTTCGGGAGCCCCACAGATTCAGGATTTTTTTCTAACAACCTTCATCTCTGAGATTTTGGAGACCACGGGCTTTGATCGAGCTTTGCCCCTTTACCAAGCTGTTTGACCTTGAGCGAGTTACCGAGTCTCGATTTCTTCATCTATAAAATGTGGGTGACACCTTCCTGGGGTTTCTGCTGGGAGTTAGGAGCGCCAGCACACGAAGAACCCTGAATAAATGAACTTTTACTAACGCTGCGGGGAGTGTAAGGATGAATGCCTCTGTCAGACAGACGTGAAACGTGTCAACGCCAGCACTAAATTGAGGATCTAACGCCGGGACGCTGTCAGGCTCCCGAGCGCGGTCCTCAAGCCCAGGTACTTCTAGGGAGGGAACTACAAGCTCCAGAAGGCAACGCGCGGCGATGGTGGGGTGTGGGCTAGGATTACGCCTGCGCAGCGGGGGGCGGGGTGAGTTGCACAATGTAAGGAGACTACAAGTTCCGAGGAGCCACGCGGCGAGGTCCCAGTCCCGAGTGTTTGCGCCTGCGCGTCGCGGGCGGGGTCTCTGGGGCGGAGCGGCCACCATCTTGAAACGGGAGGCGGAGCAGAGCCGACTGGGAGCGACCGAGCGGGCCGCCGCTGCCGCCATGAACCCCGAATAGTGAGTGCGCCCCGCCCGCGCCGTCCGGCGCAGCCTCGATCCCGAGTACGGGGTTGTACGCTTACCGGGGTTGTCCGGCCCGGGTCAGGACAGCGCGGCGCCCCCACATCCGGGTCTCTCTTCCGCTGACCTCCCCCCCCTCACATCCGGGTTCTGCCCCTCCCCCGGGGGCCCCAGAACCCCGGCTCGACGCCCCGAGTTCTTGCACCCGGGCCCGGAGACTGCGACCCCGAGGGGCACCACTTGGATCCCGAGGCACCGGCACTAGCAGGCCTTGTCGGTCAGGTGACCCCGCAGCCCCGGTCTTTCCAGGCCTCAGTTTCCCCACCTGCTGCCTGAGAGTAGCGGTCTGGGTGCTGACGACGGTCCTGGCATTGTGGAGCCCATCCCCAGAGTTTCTGGTCTCGGTCCAGTTTCGGGCCCTTTAGGTCGGGTCGTATATTCTGCTCTCCAGTCCTCCCGGAATCCGCTGGGTAGCTTTTCCGCAGGTTCTCCCCTCCGGGGCTGCCGCTTTGCCCTTTACCTGGATCAAAATGCCCTGCCGCTCCCAGAGGCTGGTCCCCTCCCGCCCTCCCCTCACCTTTGCGCAAGCCCCTGGCGCCGCCGTCACCCCACTTCCCTTCGCCGTCACCCTGCCGAAGAAGTTTAGATGAATGTGGCATTTGCTTTCTACCTTCCAGTGGGATTCTTTGTTCCTCAAACTTTCCTCACTTCTTGGTCACTCCCCCTACGGGTAGGTGGCCCACATCTCTGCCCCGACTTCTCATCGACAGTTTTCCCTTAGTGTCAGTTATCTTCTTCCTCTTTCGCTACTTGCTTTTTCTCCTCCAGATCCTGGCCTCAGATTTCCTTGGGGAAGGGTGAAGCTCTGAGCTGGATTATAAGGGGTAACAGAGAAGGGAACCAACATGCTTTCACAGAGACTTTGGAGTCTGAACCTGGTTTCCAGTATTAAAGTTAACAGCTGTGTAACTTAGGGCCAGTCGTTTCCCTTCTCTGGCCTCTGGTTTCTTCATTAATTGGGAATAACCGGCACTCACTTCATTGGACTGTTGTGAGGCTTAAATGAGATGATGCATTTGAAGTACTTAGCACAAGGCCAGGCACAAGTAGGAAGTAGATATGTTTTAACTGCTATTATCATTGCCGCTTGTTGAGCATGTCTTTCTGGAGGCTTCATACCGGGCTCTTTACATGGGTATTCAGTTAAGTTCTAGGCTGGGCCCTGGCTTCCACTTCTGTGGTCTCCCCTGCCAAGTCAGGTATGGCACTGGGCAGTGTAGGAGGGTTTCCCTAAATAGCCCCTACTGGACCCGAAACCATGGAGTCTATCAGGAATCAGGGTAGGATACCCAGCTCTGTCACCTAACTGATGTGACCCTTGGCAAGTCACGTCCCTCTCTGTGTCTCCGTTTCCTTCTCTGTAAAGTGGGAATTCAGATGCACCCCTTTGGGCCAGTTGTGTTATGGGGAGTGGTCAACCCTCCCCATCCCAGGACTTGTGGGAGGATCTTGTGAGAGCTTTAATACTCTAACCCAAGGCACGCCTCACAGTGTGGGAGAATGCTATAGTTTTGACTCCAGGATAATGGCGGGTGGGCTCCCTGCCTTCCTTCACACCTTCCCATCCTTTCTCTCCAGTGACTACCTATTTAAGCTGCTTTTGATTGGTGACTCGGGCGTGGGCAAGTCCTGCCTGCTCCTGCGGTTTGCTGTAAGTAAGAAGCTTCCCCTACCATCCATCTGGGGTCCTGGCTGGTGGCCGGAGGGAGAGGGGGGCAACCCAGAGAATAGTGGTTGCAAGACCTGGGAGACCAAGGATGAAGTTGCAGGACTTGCCAGCAACATATCTGACTGAACAGGCGCATAGGGCTGGCAAGTTGGGGTGCTGAGAACTGGGGCTCAGCAGTTGGGAGCTCGGCTGGGGCAGGACACTGGAGGGAGGTTTTCCAGATGGGCCTCAGACCTGTTCACTCAGGCCATTTCACTGGTCCCTGATCTTTCAGGATGACACATACACAGAGAGCTACATCAGCACCATCGGGGTGGACTTCAAGATCCGAACCATTGAGCTGGATGGCAAAACCATCAAACTTCAGATCGTGAGTGTTGCTCCTCCCAGAATCTCTGGTGCAGAGACATCTCCCTTGGGAGGGGAGGGGCCCTGGGCATGGAGCCCAGGGCTGACCTGCCCCTCTCTCCTGCTGTCTTGTAGTGGGACACAGCTGGTCAGGAACGGTTCCGGACCATCACTTCCAGCTACTACCGGGGGGCTCACGGCATCATCGTGGTGTACGACGTCACCGACCAGGTACTCCTGGGCTCACCATCCCCCACTTGGCCTCCTCAGCCTCAGGTCTTTGGCTTTTGCTGCTTTTTACTGTTCCCATCCTCTCTTTCTTATGCTGTCTGGAAAGGAGACTGTTCTCGGACTCATTTCACAAGGAGGGAAATAGCTGCAGACCTGGATGCTCCCCAGGCCCCGCTGCAGGGCCTTGGCAGAACCAGGCCTCACCTCCCTGTCGGACTTGCCACCTTATTCTAGACCTTCCAGGCACCTGTCTTTTGTGGGGGGGTTAGTCAGCTGATTGGTTGCTGTGCTGGGCCCGTGGCCTCCTGGGTAAAGACTGTGGAGAAGCGATTGGAGGGCCTTACACGAGGAAGTGAGGGAGCCCTGCACTCTGGGCCCAGTGTGAGCAGAGTTCTGGGAGCCCTGTGTCTGCTGTGGCAGCGTTAGTCTTGTGTCATTGGCATCAGTGGTGATGTTAACAGCGGGAAACAGTCCTGTCACGCGTTAGAGTTCACAGGTTCTGTCACAGCCCTTTGATGCTTGTAACACTCCAAAGAGGTGTGTGTTATATTCCCATTTTACAGATGAAGAAATGGGTCGGGGTGGTAGGACTTTCTTAGGCCCTGCAGCTAGTTAAGTGGCAGAGACAGAAAGCCCAGGCCTACTGATTCTACCCGCTTTGTTTTCTTTAAACTTCGTTGCTTCATGGGGGTCAGGCCCTGGAGACGTGGAGATACTTGTATCAGCCCCAGGCCAGGAGGAGTCCCTGCTCTGAGGGGCAGCTGGGCTCTTCAGCTCACCAGGGACTCATGCTGCCTCCTGGACAACAAGCTGTGGGTGAACTTTGCTCCACTCAGAGGTCACCAAGGACCTCTAACTGCCAAAACTTGTGACTTCATTTCAGTTTTTGCCATGATTGATCTCTCATGGCTTTTAACTCTGTTCTCTTCCCTCTCTTTAAAAAAGTTACTGTGTCAAGCTCTGCCGTCTCCTGCTGCAGCAGATTCTCTTTTCAGTGCCTTCTTACTGGTCCGTCGTATCCTGTCCCACTACGGCCCCAGATTCAGTGCCTCTTGATTGCCCCAAGCCGCCTCCTGACTCCCTGCACAGTTCTGGCCACCTTGTGGTTTGGCTTCTTGTTCTGTGATTTCTACAAGTAAAGAGCTGTCACTGTGGATCTCCTCTTGAGTCCTGCGTTCTGCTGGCACTTTATGTCTGTGTTAATTCCCATGTTCACAGTAGAACCCAGTGAACTCAGTGGTGGCATCCCTCTTTTCCAGATGAGGAAACACACTTAGATGTATGTTGAGTTACCTGCACTTGGCTTCACAGTCAGGAAAGGCAAAGCCTGTGTTTTGAACCCAGGGTTCTTTGCTTCCCAGCACATCCTTTCCTGCCTCTAGACCGCCTTCAGGCCATCTGCAGAGCTCCAGACCATCTGCAGAACTCAGCTTGTCGGGTGCTGGTCTCCCCGTCTCTTCTTGAACTGGCTTCTGCATCCTCATCTTTATAACAGAGTCCCTGTTGGCCTGACCAGAAAACTCTTCCCTCCCCCATCCTGTCAGTCCCTGGGCCCCTCTGTTCTCCCCCATCATCTCTCCCAGATCCGTTCCCTTGTAATAATAGCAGTGATGAGGATAATGGCAGCTCTTGCTAATTAAGCACTTGTTATGAGACAAGCCTGCATTCATTATCCCATGCTCACAACAGCCCCACCAGGAGGTACTGTTTTATAGAAGTGAGGAAACTGAGGTTCAGAGAAGCCAAGTGACATACCTAGGATCATACAATAAGTGGCAGAGGTGGGGCTTAACCCAGGGTGGTCTGACTCTAAATCCTGTGCTCTTGCCTGCCTCATTCCCTGGCTCAGGGCACATCTTCTCTTCCCTGGATTATGCCAACCATCTCCCAGTTGGTCTCCGTCTCCTTCCCGGTCTGATCTGGCCTCTGCACTCCTGCCAGGACTATCTTCCCAGAACACAGGTGTGCTCTTGCTGCTTCCTTCCTAAGAAAACCTCTACTGGCTCCTGGTTGTCTAAGATTTGGCCAGGCTAAGACCCTCCCTGCTTGGGCCCGCTTCCTCTTCCTTTCCTTCCCTGCTCAGGGACTGTGTCCCAGCCGCTTTTAGCTTTTCCCCCTCACCAAAGACAGCACGCCCATCCCATCCCATCCCGTGACCCGGCATATGTCTGCTTCTCCCCTTGCACCTTGCCCCGTCCCTCCACTGGCACCCACACGGGGGTAGTTCGTCCCTGCAGGTGTAGGTCGGCTGTCATCTCCCCAGGCAGAGATGATCCTGGAGCTCCACCTGCTCCTGCCTTCTATCCCTGCAGCGCTTGGTCGCCCTGTCTTGCCGTTGTGTGTGCCCTAGTCTAGTCCTCCATTGTCCCCTGAGTGCTTTAGGGCAGGGCCCAGGCATGATTCCATTATTTGAACCCAGTGCCCAGCACAGGGCCCCGCCTGGGACATGGCAGGAGGTGTACGTTTGAACCCAGTGTGATATCAGCAGACCTCTGGCTCCTAAGAAGGGAAAGCGGCTCTAGCTCAAGCATATTCCTAAAAGTTCTGTCCTTTGTCGGCGTGCCAGGCGTCGGGGGGCGGGGTGCAGCAGGCTGCCGGGAGAGCCAGGCCGAGCACGGAGGCTGTCAGTGCCAGAAGTAGGACAAATGTCAGGCCCTGTTCCCAGGATACCTGTCTCCCCCTTAGGCCAGGGTCTCCTCTGTGAGGATCCTCCACCTACCACTGGGCTCCAAGGTTTCAAACCTTAAAGGGATTTTAAGGCCACTGTGGGGACTTTGTAATTCTTGCTAACCTGATATCCTTTGTTTCTGTCTTTCCTCTGGCCTCTCTCCTGATGCCATTTGCTCCCTCCACGTGGTTAGGCCTTTTCTGTGTCTCGGGTAAACACGAGCAGCTGCAGGAAGCAGAGCTGGCTGGCCCTTGATCTAAGCTGCTGAGGTGTCGGGGCTGTTGGTAGACAGCCGGGGCTCTGCTGGGCCTGGCTCTTGGGGTCTCAGACAGAGGAGCGCAGGAAGGAGCGCTAAGCCTGGAGGAGCTTCCTCTGGGTCCCTGAGCCCAGGGCGCCTGCCTTTCTCAGGAGCCCAGGACAGCCATCTTCCCCTGAAAACCCCTGTTCTCCAGGCCTGGCGTAGGGGCGGGAGGTGGGAGCAAAGTAACTTTTGATCTGGTCCCTCTAGGAATCCTATGCCAACGTGAAGCAGTGGCTACAGGAGATCGACCGCTATGCCAGCGAGAATGTCAATAAGCTCCTGGTGGGCAACAAGAGCGACCTCACCACCAAGAAGGTGGTGGATAACACCACAGCCAAGGTGAGCAGGCCTGGGCCAGGCCGCCCGGGTGGGCTGGGGCCTGCTGCCCCTCACCTCCTCTCCCCTTCTCTTTTCTCCTCTCCCCTTATCAGGAGTTTGCAGATTCTCTGGGCATCCCCTTCCTGGAGACGAGTGCCAAGAACGCTACCAATGTCGAGCAGGCGTTCATGACCATGGCTGCTGAGATCAAAAAGCGGATGGGGCCTGGGGCAGCGTCAGGGGGTGAGCGGCCCAACCTCAAGATTGACAGCACCCCTGTGAAGCAGGCTGGTGGCGGCTGTTGCTAGGAGGGGCTCGTGGGGTGGGACCGGAGGTGGCACCTTCTCCAGATGATGCCCCTGGAGGGGGCAGGAGGTACTTCCCTCTCCCGGGGCATTTGAATCTGTGGCTTTGGGGTGTCCTGGGCTCCCCATCTCCCTCTGGCCTGTCTGCCTGCCGCCCTGCGCCCCGGTTCTGTCAGGGCCCCCAAGAGAGGACACCCAGGACCTTTGGCTGGGGTGAGGGTGCGGGCTTGCTCTGCTGCTGCCTCTGGGTGACTTTAAAAGATACCCCACCACACACCTTTGGGATGAGGGCTCTCCTCTGTCTGTCTCCCTCCCCCTGCCCCCCGTGTATGCTGCAGTGGGTTTCTCTCCTTACTCTTCTTCCTCCCCTCCCCTGCGCCACCCCCCTTCCCCAGGAGCTGAGGGCCTCCCTGGCCTCTACTGCCCCTGGCTGTAGTCAGCACCTGGGGCCAGGAATGGGACCAGGGGATCCAGGGCCCTGGAATGCAGGGCCCTGGGCTGGACCTCAGGACGGGCATGGGGCCACAGGGGCCCAGCAGCCCACTTTCCTCTCCTCCCTGCCTCCCCCCCCCGACACACACACTCACAGCTCGAGCCGTCCAGCTGCGGTGGGGTCTGAGCACATCTAGGGCAGGTGGGTGGGCAGCCGCGCTGGGCCTGTGTCTTGAGCCCAGAGGGAGCCTGCTCCTGCCACTCCCTGCCCTGCCAGAGCCAGGCCCGTGTGCTGCCTGCCCACCGTGCCCCTTTGTCCCCAAGGCAGGCGGAGGCGGAAGGCCCACCGTGCCAGAGGCTGGGCACCAGCCTTAACCCTCACTCTGCCAGCACCTCCTCCCTTTCCCTGAGGCAGCACATCTGGCTTATTCTCCCCCTTCCGTCCCTTGGAGCCTATGAGGGCGGATCCTCATACCCTGTCGCTACTTCTCTGGGAATGTGGGTGCAACCCAGGGTGGGGGGGGCCTCTCCACTTAACTCCCTCCCACCCAGGATGCTAGCCCCCTGCCTCTGACACAGCTTCTTCCTGCAGAAAAACAAACCTTTGATCTCTACCTGAGAAGCCATGTCCCTTGTGCTGTCTCTTGCCTGTCCCACCTGTGCCCTCCCCTCCAGCTTGTATTTAAGTCCCTGGGCTGCCCCTTGGGGTGCCCTCCCCACTCCCAGGTTCCCCTCTGGTGTCATGTCAGGCATTTTGCAAGGAAAAGCCACTTGGGGAAAGACGGAAAGGACAAAAAATAAATAAATAAATTTCCACTGGCCCTCGGGTGAGCCGAGGGTTTTTGCAAGGAAGTTGTGGTGGCTGAGTGTGGTCTGTGGTGGGAGCTGCCTTTGGGTGGCAGGGAAGGAACTGGAGCCCTGGTCTTGGTGGGCTGCACAGGTGGTCCTGGCTTGGGCTGTGTGTCCTAGGGTTGCTGTTGAAAGGCCTTGACCCATTTCCTGAAGCCAGGAGAGCTGCCTGCTTGTGCTTCTATAGTCTGTCCCCACGGGCCCAGCACGGTTCCGGCCGGCCGGGAGGGCGGCTGGCGGCCGTCAGTGAGTACCTGATGAGCCGCCGTCGCCGCCAACAACCAAACAGGCGGGTCCGGGATGGGGAGTTGGGCCGCAGACCTTGTGCCCCGCTGTGTCTGGCCCGCGTCCCCTTCAGCCCCCTGGCTCAGCCCCCTCTCCCGACCTTCTCTGGGTTCAAGCCAGGTGTCTCTGACCCCTGGGACGGTGACAAGTGCTTTGCACTTAAGACCTCGGTCCGACCTCCGTGGCCGGCGAATGAGGGCAGAGGTGCGGGCACCCGTCCGAGTGGGCCGAGTGTGGCAGTGGTGGGCTCGTTGTGTGACGGGGGGGGGGGGTTATGCCAGGGATGTGCGTCCATGCTTACGTGTCCCTGAGGTTGGGGCGGGGGTGGCGCCCGGGCCGCGCTGGCGGAGGGGCGCACAGAGACCCAGCCCCGCCCGCCCGAGGCTGCTCGCACGGCGGCCCCGCCCCCGGCTCCGCCCCGCCGGCTTCGCGGGCTGGAGAGCGAGGGAGCCGCGGGCGAGGGATCGCAGGATGAGCGATTGGGGCCCGGGCAGCCGGCAGCGGACGCGCCCCCCGAGCCCACCGGCCCGCGCCCCACGGCCCCGCGGCCCCGATCCCGGCCGCGCCGCCCGCGTCCCCCGAGCCCGCGCCCGAGCCCTGCGGGCCATGCCCGGCCGGCCCTAAGCGCGGGCCGGGGGGGCGTCCCCTTGCGCCCGGGACCCGCGCTGGCGCCCCCCGGGCCGCCGCCCGGCGCGGGGGCCATGGCGTTCACCTTCGCCGCGTTCTGCTACATGCTCACCCTGGTGCTGTGCGCCTCTCTCATCTTCTTTGTCATCTGGCACGTAAGGCCGGGCTGGGGCTGGGGCTGGGGTCGGAGTGGGGGCAGGGGCCGCTGGGAGCAGGAGGGGGACGGACGGATGGTCTCACGGCCCGGAGAAACTTGGAGCCTCCTCTCCGCTATCCCCCATCAGTCGGCTACTGTTCGCCCCATAAACACCCCCCATCATCGGCTTCCTTCCCGGGCCCCCCCCCTTTCTCCGCCGCCCCCGACTATCTGTGGGTATGTCAGTCGGTCTCTGACCCCCCTCCCTTGCCCCATGGCAGCCTTGGGGTGTGGGGCGGAATTCTGGGATTCTTGTTCCTTTCCCTCCTATTTCCCCACCCCCCAACCCCCGCCATCTAGTCGCCCCCGTTTGTCCGTCGGGCAGTTTGTCTGTCTACTCTCCCCACCCCCTTTGTGGGTTTTTCCAGCCAGAGTGATGGAGCCAGTTGCTATGGCAACTGCATCTGTTTACAGGACCCACAGATCGCAGAGCCCATTAACCCTTTCCATTCCCGCCCCCCACCCCCACTCCCTGACCCAGCAGTGATTGGCTCTAAGCAGCCCCAGAGACCTAACCCCGACCACCAGCTCACCTTGGGTTTCCCTACCCCCTCCTGTTCGGGCTTCCCCCTACTAGGTTTCCTCCCCACTTTCCAGCTTTCCTCCTCTTCCTGCCCCCACTTTCCTCTTTGTCTCCTGTTTCCTTTGGTCTGTCTCTCTCTCTCCAGCCTTGCCTCACACCTGGTTCTTCAAAACGTCCATTTCTCATCCCTTATCCTGATTGCCTCCCTTTAGAGAGGGTCCCTCTCCCCCACTGTCTGGGGCCTTCTCAGTGGTCCCCTGCCTGTCTCCCTTCTACTCACTACAGAACTATCAATCAGCCTCCAGCTTATTTTTTGGGACCCTTGCTCCCCACGCCCTTTACTGCCCTCTCTTCTCCTATGTACCCTGAGGTTTCAGCCACCACCCTATCCCCTCCACACGGCCTGTGCATCTTGGCCCTGGCCCGCTCAGCTCAGCATCCTCTGCTTGTACGTCCAGCACACACCTCCCTGATCATCGCGTTATCCCCCATCGGTCTCTTTGTACCCGCTTCCTTCCTCTTCCTCCCCATTGCCTCACCTGCTTCTTTCTTGGTCTCCCCACTTCATCACTCCTTTCTTTTCCTGGGACCTGCTGCCTGCCTGCTCCGTGGTCCTCCCTGGCCCTTGATCAGTCTCTCCCTTCATCCTCCCCTGCTGTCCCCTTGCTGTCTGTCTCTTTTACATCAGGATTCCATGGACTCTGACTGCGCCCCTTCTGTGTGAGGAGTGAGCCCCCATAGACACCTTCAGACACACACACCCCATCTGCAGCCCTCTCTCTCTTTGGGTCTCTCAGTTGCTTTTTCTTTTCTTTGCCCCCTTCTCTATTTCTATTTCCCTTCCTCCATCTCCCCTAGGTCCATCTTCGTCTCTCTGAGCCTTCTATCTCATCCCAGGGCCTTGGAAAATCCTGTGGGGTGGTGGCAGGAGGGCTGGAGTCCTGAGGACTGGAAGGAATTGAGAGTCACAGGCTGGGCACACAGAGCTAACCAGCTCCTGGGAGGAAGGCTCCTGGAATTCAAGAAGCCCCTTTTTGGGCTCCTCCCCACCCAGAGGCCTCCAACAGCCTCTATGGGGGTCCCTGTCCTCAGGGGATGCTCAGAGCAGACCTCCATCCAGCACACTTGTCGATGCTCCTGAGAACCAGGCTCTGGTCGGCTTTGGGAGTGACAAGGATGAATAAGACTCAGGCTTTGCCCTTCTGGGGCTCCCAGGCTGGGAGAGAGGGCCCAAGTGCTCCCCAAAAATACTCATTGAGTACCGACTACATGTCAGGCACTGTGTTCGCTCAGCTGTTTAGCTGGGCGATCATAGCAAGTCTCTTGTCCTGAGTCTGTTTCCTCATCGGTAAAGTGGGCTTGTTGTATATACAGCAGAGTGTATATAAGCCCAGAGCAAGGCTTGCCAAGGGGTGTGCAGGTGGGGAGAGGAGGTGTGGTCCTCAGTCCAAATTGGTAAGAATTAGATAGAACCTTACAGGGCAGGACCCCAGATCCCACCAGGCCCCACTGGTCGCTAGGCAACCCTGGTGGGGAGTGACGCGTGTCTGCTGTCACCGTGGGGGATTGTTTGTTCCAGGGGGCTGAGTCAGCGCCAGGCAGCCTGGGGGGTGGGAGGTGCAACACTCGCCGCCTGCTGGTGGTGCCAGCTCTGGGGCAGACAGACGGCACCCTTCCGCTCCCTGCTGGACCCTGTTGCTGTGCCTGACAGAGTCAATGGGGAGTTGGTGGGGCTGCTCCAGATGGCCCCAGCTCCCTCCAGGAAGCCCGTGTTCTCTCCTTTCGAGCCTTAAGGGGTCCGGGATGCTTGGGGGGTGGGCCCGCTGCTTCATCCTAGGGCTGGTGCTCAGGGGAGAGGACTCCAGAAGGCTCCTCTGCCAGCCTTTCTCCCATGCCAGCTCCCCCCAGGTCTGTCCCATCATCCTGTCAAACACCTGCTCCCCCCAAGAGTTTCCCATCCTAGTGAGGACAGTGCCGTCCACCAGATGCCCCAACACCCAAAGTCACCTTGGGTCCCTTTGCCTCCACTTCACTGCCATTCAAGCCCTCTGGATTCTGGCTTCTAAATAGCTCTGGAATCCATCCCCACCTCTCCATCCCCACTGTCCCTCTCTTCACTCAGATCACCACACCTCCCCACCGCAAGCCCCAGCTGCAACACTCCCAATAGTCCCCTGACTGGTCTGGCCTGAGTGTAGTAAAGTGGTTAAAATTTTAACTCTGGAATCTAACGGGTTTAGAAACCTGGCTTGCCACTAACAGGCTATGTGGCCTTGGACAAGTCATTTAATCTATCTCAGTTTCCTCATCTGCAAAATGGAAGTGATAATACCAGCACCTACATCATCAGGTTGTTGTAAGCATCAAATGAGTTAACAAACATAAAGCCTGTTGGCATGGAGGAAGCATCATGTATGTCTTGGCTGGGACCGTTAGCCAGTTTGTACTTCCTGTTCGGTCAATCCTAAAACATCAACCTAACCACCCTGGTTTGCTGCTTTATACCCCTCGATGGCTCCCCTTTCCTTCTGTGTTGAAGTCCAAACATCTGGTCCGGCCTCACGAGGCACCCACGTCTGGCGCTGCTGACCTCTCCAGCCCATCTTTCACCATTCCCGTCTTTCTTCCCGCTCGCCTCACACTTTCACTTTAGCCATATAGAACCTGCAAGCTTCCTGAATGTTCCTTGTTCTTTCAACCCTCTGCCTTGGTACCTGCTGTTCCTGCTGTTCAGACTGCCTTTCCCGCATTTGTTCATCAAACTCCTACTCAAGAGTCCAGCCTGAACTCCCCATCCCCACGCCACGCTGAATCAGGCACCCACCCCAGGTTCTTCCTGCACTCCACAGCCCTGATCACCCTGGATGTAGTTCACAGTTTTTCTCCCAAGTCTGGGGTTCCTCCCGGGCAGGGGCTGTGTCCCAGGCTTCTGGGACCCTAGTGTTCAGCACGGGGCCCAGCAGAGAACACACTATCCCTTGGGATGTTTTGGATGGAGGTGTAGTGGACATGTCCTGAACTGGGCATCAGCACACTAGAGTTCCATTCCAAATTGTTGTGTGACCTTGGGCCAGGCTCCACCCCTCTCTGGGCCTCAGTTTCTCCACCTTTGCAGCACGTCCCATCTCGTCCGATCCCCATGTGTGAATCTTATGCCACAGAAGAATGCGTGGGGGGCCATAAGCTGCTGCCCCAACCCTGACGGGCACACGCCCCTCCCCCAGATCATAGCCTTTGACGAGCTGCGGACCGACTTCAAGAACCCCATCGACCAGGGGAACCCAGCGCGGGCAGTAAGTGATACATGTGTTGTGCCGAGGTGTGTCCGCCCGTCTGTCTTGCCATATGTCGCGGGTGGAGGACGGCGGGAGGACAGGAAGACGGAGGTAGAGGGGACGGTGGCCGTGCCCCTTCCTCTGCCTTGTCCCAGCCCCCAGCAAACACCTGGCTCGGGCTCAGGGCTCGCGTTCCTCCTGGCGGGGCAGCCGTTGCCAGGCTCTGGGCCGTTGCCATGGAGACGCGGGTGAAGATCCCTCCATGGTGACGGTCGCTATGGGGACGGCGCGGCTGCTTTCCTGCCGCGCCGCCGGAAACGCCGCAGTCTGCTCTGGCGTCCCCTGGCGGCCACGTGCAGGGAGTGGGGGGGCGTGGGAGGGGGGCGGGGCGCCCCCAGTGCCCGCTCCTTCACCTCCACCATTGCGGTCTTTTCCTCTCCCTACAGCGCGAGCGTTTAAAAAACATCGAACGCATCTGCTGCCTCCTGAGGAAGGTCAGTGTCAGGGCTAGGGGCAGGAGGCGCCTAGCCGAGCTCAGCGCCACTGTAACCCAGAGCCGGGCCTTCCCCCTCTGCGGCCTGTTTGATCTGCTCTGCCACGTGGGAGGGAGTGGGAGGCTAGAAGCCCTTTCAGTCCCCAGAGGTGATGGTGGGTGGGCACCTCCCAAGTGCCCTTGAAGCTTGGATCTGTCCTAGCACCTGGCCGCTGACCTCTCACCCTCACTCCCCAGCTGGTGGTCCCAGAATACTCCATCCACGGCCTCTTCTGTCTGATGTTTCTGTGTGCAGCAGAGTGGGTGACCCTGGGCCTCAACATCCCCCTCCTCTTCTACCACCTCTGGAGGTGAGGGTAGCAGCTGCCTTCGGGAGGGTGAGATGGGAGAGCGGGGCAGGATGTGGGTGGGAGCCTTGAGGGTGGGCACTCAGGCCCCTCTCTCCCCCCAGGTACTTCCACCGTCCTGCGGATGGCTCTGAGGTCATGTATGATGCGGTCTCCATCATGAATGCTGACATCCTCAACTACTGCCAGAAGGAGTCCTGGTGCAAACTCGCCTTCTACCTGCTCTCCTTCTTCTATTACCTGTACAGGTGAGGTCCTGCCCATGGCGGTCAGAAGTCAGGGAAGGGATGCTCCAGGCACCATCCCTCCAATCCCAGGAATGGCTGGGCCCCAAGTTCCTGCCCTTTGCCCTTGATGACTGAGGGCAACCTAGGGCGCGACAGGGTGGGTGGCCAGTAGTGGGCATGCTCGCGACTTGGCTCACTGCCTCGTCTTCCCACAGTATGGTTTATACGTTGGTGAGTTTCTAAGGGGGAAGCCGGCCAGGGAGCGAGCCCAGAACGGACCGGACGCCTGTGCACCCCCAGCCCTGCCCCTGGGCCGCAGAGGCCTCAGCCCTGGGGAGGGAGGGGGCACTGGTGCCCCCAGCCTCCTCTCCCCCACCCCCAAACTGCTGCTGCGGGGACTTCCCGCCTTCAGAGCCCCCTCCCCTTGGACTAGGGCTGGGCAGAGCTCTAAATAGGGGCAGGAGCTCCTCTGCCAGCCTGTGGGCATGGCAGTCAGTCCTGGAAGGGGCGGGACCTCCGGCCTTGTCCACTTCAGAGGGCATTTAGGCCCTGCCACGGGGCAGGGCTTGACCCTGGAAGTTCTGGGCCGCCCCCTCCACCCCCCCCCACCCTGGGGCTCCCCCTGCAGGTGGGGCGGTACCCACACCGGGAATGAGCAGGCTCAGCAGGGGGGCAGCCCCACCCCTAGTCTGCCCTCCCCCCTCCCCCAGGCTTTCTCTCCAGACCCCTCCCTGTCCCCCCTTGCCCCAACCCCAGCCACCCTGTCTCTTGGACCTATTTTCTATGTTGCCTGGAGGAGTCCGGCACCCCCTCCCCGGCCGTTTGTGACAAAATATGAATAAACTACTGCAAACACGTCTGCTCCTAAAAGGCTTAAAGAGGTGATGGGGGAAAGGGACTGCATAGGGGGCAGTCCTGAGCTAAATCCTTAGCACAGCTGGCCTCACGCCACTAGCCTACAGACCCCACTAGGGACCTCCTCAGATGGATCAAAGGCCTTTAAGGTCTCCTTAGCAGCTGCCCACTTCCATTCTCACTTTCTCAGCCACAGATAAACAACTATTTCTGCTGAAACACTTCCATCTGCCTTCCGAGGCAGTATCAAGGCCACCAACTCCAGGGAGCCCTCCCTGGATCCCCCTCCTTGGAGAAAGCCCGAGCCTGGTCCCCTGGGCAATGCAAAGGCCCACAAGTGTTGGCAAATCCCCCCATAAGCCCCAGAAACAAGGCTCAAACGAAATCAAGGAAACCAAATCTTCAATGTATGGAAAAATCAGTGCCAGTGGGGACCGGGGTCACCGGACCAGGTGGAAGGTCAGCCAGTATATCATGAGGGGCTGAAAGGCTGCAGCTCCCAGAGTCAGGTAGAGCTGGAGACGTTGCCGGGGGGGCGGGCCCCCCATGCTGTCGGGGCCCAGGGCTGCTGTTCGCAAAGAGCGCACCTGGAATAAAGGAGAGAGCTGAAGCTGGGCCGGGAAGGGGAAGCTTGTCCCCACCTCCGACCCCAGGAGAAGAGGAGCCAGCCCCAGACTCACGATGAAGTACATGAGCGCGGATGAAGTCCAGGCCAGCGCCACATAGTAGCCATCGCTGCCGAAGAGCAGGCCCGTGAGAACACTGAGGATCATCCTGCAGCGGGCAGGGGTGGGGGAGGGAGGAAGAGAAGGCTGGAGACCTCGCAAGGGTCCAGGCCTGAGACTGCCCCAGAGCCCAGCCTAGACCCCGCCTACCATCACCAGGGCCCTTTCCCCCCAACCTGTCCCCCCAGGGACCTAGACTCAAAATGAATTGGGAGGGCCAGGACTCAGCCCTAGGACCTGGATCTGAGACCCCCTTCACTACCCCAGCTCACCCCTCTCCCCTGTGCTCCCGGGGTGACTCTCAACACATTCCTGACCTCCTGAACAACACTGCGCAGTCCCTGAGGAGGCTGCTGAAAACGCGCTCCCTCTAGTAGAGAGGAGCTAGAGGGGGTCCAGGGTCACAGTTCGAGGCTGTAGTTATGCAGGCCGGGAACCCAGAGCGGTAGGCACCCCCGACCCAGGCGAGCCTCCCTCTCGGCCCACAGGTGCTCACCCCACATATTTGTAGCCGCTGTAGGCCAGCAGGTGGAAGGTGCTCAGGTCGCTGCGCACGGTGGCCAGGTAGACGCCCAGGAGCAGAGCTAGCACCTCCATCACAACCCACACCAGTGCCGTGCTCGCACACAGGCCCAGCACCTCTGGGGAGAACCTGTGGCCGTGTGGGGGTGAGGTGAGGGGAGCCCCAAACCAGCCATCCCGTGGCAGGTGCAAGACTGGGGGCACGAGTGGACTTGGGAGCTGGCACAAATCCCCTAGGGAGGCGAGGAGAGGAGTCAGGAGTGGGGAAGTGGTGGGAATGGGGAAGGGTTGGCACTGACCTTTTCTGAATGCCCAGCGCCATCCCAGCCAGCAGCACGTAGGTGATGAAGGCCATTGCTGCCAAGAGCCAGAGAGATGCCATCAGCCTGGTTTCCTCAACCAGAGCCACCCCCCACTAGGTATTCAGAGCCACTGACACCCCCGTACTTCCTTCCCTGCATATCCCAACATGCTCGACCTCCACACTCAGCTCCGCAGTGCCCTGCCTGGGATGCCTTTTCCTGCTCAGCCCTCTCCCACTGTGTAAGTGCTACCTGACCCTTCTCTCAGGACCACCAAGCCACCTCCTTCCCCGTCCCTGTACTAGGAAACTCACCAAAGTTTCCTGCTGTGTCTCAGAAACTACATCACAGGCCAGAGTCACCTCTGCTATTTTCACAAAAGCTCAGACGGCAGCTGGGTTTTCACAGCAATTTCAACTCCTCAGTCCTGTCCTCTGCCCCCTTTAAGCACCAGAACTGATGTGCCCACAAGAGGGCACAGTGTCTGGAGACAGCAAACCAACTCTACCACCTATAAGCTGTGTATCCTCAAAGATACTCAACTCTCTCTGAGCCTTGGCTTCAACGTGTAAAACACGGATGGCAGTTCCTGCCTTACACAGTGACTATGAGAGGGAAACAAAATGAAGGAGGGAAGAAGAAACTGTGTCTCTCCCAGGGCAACTGGGCTGTTTGGCTGCCCTCCTGGTAGCCCTTCTGAGGGCTGGCCCGAGCATACTCACCCCTCCTCCAGCGTGTCCACCAGGGGCCTCGCCTTGTGCAGGCCCCAGGACAGAGAGAAGTCAGATGCAGAGTCTGCCAGCCACTGCACAGTGTGGGCGGCCTGACCCATGCCATGTAGACAGGCAGTTGTGGGAACCCAGAAGGGAGTGACCACCTCCTCAAAGAAGGGGATACTGAAGCAGGCCTTGGAGGACACGTAATAACAGTGATAATGGCTAATATTTACTGCGTGCTTCCTGTGTGCCACGTGCTGGCTGAGCACACACATCCCTTCGCTGAATTTCCAAAACAGTCCTCTGTGGTAGGAACTGTTGTTATTCCAGTTTTTCAGAAGCATGAAAGTAGCCACCTGAGGTCCCATAGCTGGAAGTTGTAGGGCCAGGTCTAAACCCAAGGCTCCAGGCTGGGGAGGGACATGGTCTAAGTCAAGTGGCAGGAAGGTCTCAAAAGGGAATACCCTGAGAGCACACCCAGGAAGCTGCTTACTGGTCACCCCACTCTGTCTACCTGGTCTACCTGGCATCTAGGGACACCACAAAAGCCACACACAAAAGCACCAAGAGCAGATGCTGAACCAACACATGAGCCTCTCTCTTCTTGTTGGCGCCTCAAGGCACAAGTCCCCCCGTAACCCCTAGCCCAGGTCAAAGACTCACTGGGGATATAGAGGTCGGGGGCGTTGAGGTCTTGCCGCGGAGGCAAAGGCACATCACGACTGTACTGCACTTCCCAGTTCTGGTGGTGGCAGCAGCAGCCAGGTTAGGAGGAAAAGACAAGAGAGGAAAGAAGGGGGTTGAGATCTGGGGGCCAGACTCTGGGGCAGGATGAGGGAGGCAAGGGGGTCCACCAGCTCACCTGGTAGGCAGCTCACCTGGTGTGTGTAGGGGAAGACCAGTAGCCCTAGCTTCTTGGCCACATAGGCTGTGTCCACAGCGAAAAAATACTTGAGTTTGTTCACAGACACAAAACGGTGCAGCTGGGAGGGGAGAGAGGAGGCTGTGGGCAAGCTGCACCCCAAACCTCAGGGTGCTCCTCTATGCGCTCCTTCCCTGAGGGCTGCTGTGAGGATTAGGTGGGATCCCGTGATGCCCCAGCCCTGGCCAGAAATCCTGCCACCCTTGCCCTGGGGGTGGGCCACACCTCCTTGTGCACCATGTCCTTCCCATGGGATGCGATGGAGCCGCCATAGGCCATAGCCATGTTGGCCACTGGGTCCCCAATCAAGTGGTTGACATTGAAGGCCACGTCGGCTCCTGGGGCTGGGTATCCCCCCGGCTGGCTGGAGTAAACACCGCTTGTGTCATCGAAGAGGGGAGGGGGATCCGGAGCTGCCCGGGCCCTGTGCTTGGAGCCTGTGGGTTTGTAGGTACCAGAGTAGGTGACAGGAATACCAAGCATGAGCCCAAACCACTGCCCCTTCCCCAGGCTGGGAAGCCCTGTATGGGTCCTGGGAGCACCAAGCAATCAGTGCGGGAAACTAGCTGGATGAGGAGTAGCTGACCCAGAAAGAACTTTGATGAGGGATCCTTTTGGAGAGGTGCTAAATGTGGGCAAAGAAAGAGCTGAGGCAGCCCCTGGAAGTGGTTGCCCGTCTGAGGGTTCCTGGGGGCCTCCTCAAGGGGACTGATCTCTGAACTGAGCCTTGGAGACAGAGTTTGCTAGGTGAAGACAATCGGCAGGGCATCCCCGCATGTACAAGGGTGGGAAAGGCGACGGCTGGGTACGCGGAGGCCCTGGGCAGTGGTGAGAAACCCTACCAGGGTCATGACAGGGAAAGGAAGTTTGGGAAGCAAACCCCATTCATGCCCGAGTAGAGCACGGGGATCCCAGCAGTGCTGTCACCGCCCGATCTGATCTCAGGTTTGGGCCGAGAGGGCGAAGTCCAGGACGCGTTGCACAGTCTTACGGGGCAGGAGTCCGAATGACATCCGCCGCCCTGGGCAGCGGTCACGGCCGCCCCTCTCCCTCAGGGTGAGCGGGCCGCGCAGCCGACACTCCTCGGGCCGGTCGGCCCGCGCCCCCGCCCACCCCGCGCCCCACGCACCGTGGGCTACGTAGCCCGAGTGATAAGCCATGGCCCCGACGCTCGCTCTTTCCGAGGGCCCGCTGCGTCGCCTCGTGGTACGAATACTAGTGAGGCAGCTGCTTCGTTTCCTGAGCACCGACCGAGGTTACCGAGCAGCCAGACACGTCCCCGTCCTGTCCGACGACAGCAGCATGTCCGCAGCGTCATCCTCTGCCGCCTGCCATTGGCTCCTCGGCGGCGCCGGCTCGCCCATCCCCTCTCCCAATTGGTTACTGGCGTGCCCTCGCCGAAGTGGATTCGGCAATAACCAACTTCCGGTCGGGGGAATAGGCGGAGCAACTTGAGGCGCTCTCGGATTGGATAGTGCCGTTGTTAGTTCGCGGCGGAGCAGCCAATAGAAGGGTTAAAGTAGGAGGAGGTTGAGAAGTATTTCCGCGCCTGCGCACTGGAGCACTTGACGCTCTACCTGCCACGACTACAGCGGGAAGAGACCCGGCGGAGGCTGGCGGCGGCTGGACTCCGGGAATGAAGTTTCGCTCGCGGGACGTACTCCAAGAGGGAGTGGGACGGTGGGGCTATGACCAAGCCCTGTCCCTCGGGGCTCTTTCCCCTCCTTCTCAATGCTAGCTTTCCTTCCCCGTCCTCCATACTTCCCCCAGTACTGGCGCGGAGCCCGGGCAGCCGGGGCGGGATGCTGGTAGGAGC